ACCTATTATTTTTTTTAATTCTGCTTTAATTAGGCTTCTAGCATTCACCTAAAATATACTATCTCATAATAGGAGTCTTTCCTCTACGTATACATAAATTATATACGTCTGAAATAAATAACTAAAGTTAAGCAATGCATTCTAAAGTATCTTACATAAAGAGTGGTCCACTTATTATCTATTATATAATATTTAAAGTAGAAAGCATATTAAATTCAAAGGGAAAATTGAATATATCACTAAAAGTGTATTAAAATAAAAAGATTCAATAAAAAGAGAGTATTTTACGAAATAATGTAGTTCGCAGACTGCGGCAAGCGTTAAAGAAGTCATTGTCAAAATTCGCGGGGCACCCGATATAAAAACGAAGTAGAAATGGCGTATCTACGTTCTGCGAGTGGATATTACGCGGCGGATCGATATTTGGCGAATATCACTCAGCTAAACGCGAATTCGTAAACGTCAATCCTTTCAGTGGCGATTAAATAAGAACGTGCATGCTCGCCAATAATACATTACGTACGGAGAACTCGCGAATGTCCGAGCCAGCGTAGACTCGTCGTCGAATTCCCCTCGTCGATTTATACTACCAGAGATGGCGCGTCGAGATTGGCAAATTAATTACTACGCACTTCACAATTCACAACACAACAATCATATACATACGTCAAAGCTCCACGATGCGCACGTAGTCACGTGATCAGAAGCACTATGACCCGCGGTGGACAAACTAGTCGAGCGAATTATATGTATGCTAATTATACGTATAGATAATGAATAAAATTGTGAAAGATATCTTTTCATCCCGTTAATGATAATAAAGAGAAATTATATGAATTCTTAATACACAATGATTTTCTAATCCTTCATTAAACACGACAGGTATCTGTGTTTAATTTACATCACTTTATATTATTTATTACATTATATAATTAATTACATATTGATAAATTAATTTTTCGATGTGTAGATCGCGTTTCTTCATTCTGGGTGATTTTATAATAATAATCTACTCTTGCACTATAAAAATATTATTGAATGTCAAGACTCTTAATACAATGTCAATATTTTAAATAAGACGCAATAGAAACATACAAATGCAGTGCCAATTTGGTCGACTTGCGTCATGAAGGACTGAGAAGGGGGGAATTATATTTCCTAAGTTCTATATTTATATAAGCTCAATATGTTCCCGATACCCTAAATATTTAAAAAATCACTTCAAGTACAAGATGTAAGAAAATAAAGCTGAAACTGAATGATCTTTTTTTTTTACCTGATATAACATTGACGTTTCAATCGGTATTATCCACATCTTGGAACAGTAATTACGTCTTGCGATCAACAAGTCAATAAGCACTAATAATTTAAAAGGCATATACTACTATATATTGCTGCAGCTGCCATGCACTATTTACGTTTCTGAAGAATCCGCAAACGTAAATCATTCAATAGAGTGAATCCCATTGCCCAGTAGTACCCGGTTGACAGTTGATACTATGACTGCGTACATAATGGAAGGGATAACATGGGAGTGTGCACAGTTTGCAAGCGTGAGGGGCTTCGTATAGTAAAAGGAACAGGAAACAGAAAACAGAGTACGGCTCTGCGCACAACAGAAGGAATAAGGACTGAGAAATAAAGAATAAATGATTTCAACCTATCAGAAACTGTTTCCGATATATTCGATTTCTGATAGGTTAAAATCGTTCATTTTTTATTCCTAATTATTTCTTCTATTGTGCGCAGGGCCTAAGAATTTCAACCAATCAGAAATTATGTATTGTGGAATACACACAGTTTCTGATAGGTTGATATTCTTAGGGGCTGCGCACAATGAAAGAAATAAGAAATAAAGAACAGGGAATAGAAAATAAGAATTTCAACCTATTAAAAATTGTGTATTCCACAATACATAATTTCTACGTACTAATAGTCTACGTATGTTAGATGAATCAGCTAATAAAACAGTATCTGTAAAAAAAAGTCAATATCAATGATATCTGCAATACGAATATTGAGCTTTTACAAATCTATAAAGTACTGCAAACTGAGTTACAAAATATTATATAAGAAAATGAAGTTTTAAAAGAAAGATTTGTTTACAGGATTGTGTGACACATATAAAATTCCTTACATTTAATATGTAATGCATTAACTTCTTGATCATGACGATTAATTTTGCATATATTTCCAATTGTATAAATTCTGTAAAATGTCTTATTTTAAAACCCAAGACACAATGTGAGGGAATAGCGATAGCGATAGGAATAACACGATTTCAATCTATCAAAAATCGGATATATCGGAATACAATTTCTGATAGATTCTTGAAATCGTATTATTTCTATCGCTATTCCTTCGCATTGTGTCTTGAGCTTAAGGCCCTGCGCACAATAGAAGAAATAAAGGATTAGGAATAAAGAATAAACGATTTTAACCTCTATCAGAAATTGGATATATTAGAATATACGTTCTTTCTGATAGGTTGAAATCGTTTATTCTTTATTTCTAATTCCTTATTCCTTCTATTGTGCGTAGAGCCTAAGAGATAAAAGTTTTTAATATTACTTCTGATCATGATATATATGCAACTTATATAGAATTTATTAACGATTATAGCTACTCAAAATTTTTAAAATAAATTGAATATGTATATATTTTTAATAACTGCGTTCAGCAGACTCAACAGTTAAGTGAGCGCTCGCTGCTATTGATGTATTCTTTCAGATCTAAAATGCTGATTGAATGATATAAAAAAAATACCCCAATCACAACAAGCACTCACTCAACTATTGAGTCCGCTGAATGCAGCCAATATTAAAGCGGTTTGATAATAATAAAATTTGTGACAAAATAATTGTGTTTAATTTTTGTAATCGTAAGAAACATAAAAGTTACAAACATTATAAAAAATATATATGTCATTAATCAAGAAAAACATAAAATATTTATTCAATATAAATTTTTAAGATATGTTACACAACATTATAAATTATTACATCTATAACAAGAAAAGAAAAATACTGATAATTCAATTACATAAAATGATCATCAATAATAACATAGAATAACTTTAAACAAATAAAATAAAAATAGAAGAAACTGCAAACAATCAAGAATATCACTGAGATCATTTGTTATTTTAAATTTAACATACAAAAATGTGATTTTACAAAATAACTATACTACTTAAATAAAATAATAGTTTTGTTTTAATCTCAAAAATAACTTTATCTTCAATCAATATTTTTCTGTTTGAACTTATCAGCTAATATTCCTTCCATAATCTTATTTTCAAAAACTGATGATATATTCTTATTCATTTTTTCTATAGCATTCAGAGTTATCGATAATTGTTTTACGCTCATTGATACAAATCAAGATATTAATTTATCCCTAACATAATGACAAGTGCTTAAAAGGAGATGTTTCAAAACAGTATGAAGATAAGATAAATGACTAAACTGTCATTTAGGGACTTGTCTAGGAATAATAATTTAGACTTGGCTTTCCATATAATTTTTTCTGTTCTTTCAAAAATATGAAACACTTCTTTACTATTATTTGTGCTCCAGGAGTATAATCTGAAATAACTACAAGCATATAAAGAGGATAATGTAAACGTCAAATCAGAATTATCTTGCAATTTCAGATAATATTTTCTTCACATTTAATGAAATTCCTTAATTTGAAAAAACATATCCACACATTTTATAAAATATTTATTGTATAGTCTCTGACATAGGCCCGCAATCATTTAATTTAGGGAAATCGCAATGTGTTTCTACAGTTTCTTCTTTTTCATTTAATTCAGTTAAAAGTACATTCAAAAGGAAAGATACTTCATCATATGTATAACTGGAGATAGGTATTGCGAGGTTTCCTACTATATACATCTGTCTTAGTCTGTATTTAAACTGAAGAGCTGTTTGCTTGAGACATCCTCTACATAGTGCATACTGTTTGAAAAACCACTTTCCAAACTATCTTGACTTGATCGGCCTAGAAAAAAAGAAACTATTTCTCGTTTAAAAGACGATCTTGTAACTGAATCATTAATTCCGTGATAAGTATTACATGAATCTGAGATGGTTTCTATAACCATATCCGACTTTCTTATTTTCGAAAACATGACATATTAATTTTAGAAATTCTATTGTATCATTATATTTTTCAGAGTTGTGAAAACTGAAAGCATGGTGAAAGTTTCTTTCAGTCATCATTATATCAAACCATTCTCTAATCAATTAAAAGGCTGTTGTTCCCATTTACGGAAATTCGTCACTTTTTTGGACTAGAAATGTTAACGCAGATACACACAGATATGATTTATAACTCTAGTAGAATTCACGACTTCCATTTTACAGAAATGGTTTGATCTAAATACTGTTTTGCTTAATTTAGACGCAAGTTTTTTTTAGTTCCATGCAATTTTGAGACTGATGTGAATGTAACCACTCAATATGATCCATATCAACAACATTACTACATTGAAAAAAAATATAGTCAATTTTAATAAATATTTAGTTAAATACTGTCAACTAAATATTTATTAAATATAAAAATATATTTATTTGATATAAGAAATGTTAATTTGATTTAATAATCCTTTTTTACTGAACAAATATTTACTGTAAATAAATGTTGGCAGTATTGGACTAAACATTTATCAAAATTGACTATATTTTTTTCTCAATGTAGGTAAATTATATAGTTCTACAACATTTTGTGGTAAGTAAATAAATTGATTTTCCATAGCCATTTCTTTCAAATTTTTAAAAACATGAACAGGATCTGAAATCAATTGTAACATAATTTCTGGATCGTAAAGATGTTATAGTATATACCATATCTGCCTTCAATTTTATAATATATACCATATCTGCCTTCGTAATTTTAAACCCAAATTTTGAGCAATCCTCTATTTCCCATATCACAAACTAAAACAATTATTTTTAAATCTTATGACATTTTTGAAGTATTTCTAAAATAACCTCTTTAATTGCATCATTTATTGAATAAGATGAAGTGGTAAGTTACATACTACTTTCAATGAAAACCAAGTCTAAACAATTGGAAAAGTGAAGCTTTACATGTCAATTTATTTGTATTGCCAGACAATGTCACATTTCCAATATGTGCTTTTGTACTTGTATCAAAATCGATCTGCTCTTTAATCGCCATTCCAAATACTAGTTCCAAATACCACAGATTTTCTATGTACGTAAAATATGAAGAATGATCAACTGCAGATATTTAAAAACATTTTCAAACATTCTGGGGTCCTATTCTTGAACAAATATTGCATACGAAAATAGTAATTTCATATACAATCACAGTCGAGAAACTATCATTTTCGTATGCGAAAATTATTCGTATGTACTCAAGAATAAGGCTACTGATTCAAATTTTGCTGTATTTTATTTCTTAAAGTTCTCAATGAAGGAAATGGAGCAACAAGTTTAATTATCTGATTATAACCATGCGATCCACATGCAAAATGTAAATTCAATCCTTTTTCGATTGTTACATCTAACCATTTGGAACCTTTTGTAGTACCATATACAATTGCTCTTTGTTGATCTTTATTAAGAACTGTATTGATTATTTCAGTATTTTCTTCGATATTTTTTTCTAAGTCGTTAACTTTATTTTTTAGGATATCTCTTTCCTTTTCAACCATTTTTAATTTTTCTTTTAGTATTTCATATTCTTCTGGACTAGGTAAATTCTCCATAGACAATATTTGGTTTGCAGTAAATTCTGATGATACACGTATGTCTAGATTATAATTTAATCTGTAATTTTCTTCTTCAGAGAATGTCTCCAATGTATTTATATCAATAGGTTCTTTCATTACAACACAATGTGCAGTATGGACATACTTCTTACGTGACCCAAACATAATAGATTTCCTTTTTTTGAAAAGTAAACAATAATTATGTTCTTGTAATTCATTTGAATACTGCTCTCTTTTGCAACTCTTATTTTTTTGCTTCTCAGAATTTTCTGTAGCAGTATACAAATGATCACTTCTTAATCCTGCCTTTTTGTAAGGAAGAAATTCAGTTGATTCATTACATCGCTGTTCTGGTTGAATTTCTGCAAGAGACTTCCCTTTCATAGGTTCTTCACATTTGCAAAATAAACTTGGTATGGTACCTTTCCTTATAATTTTTTTATTACCAATGCGGAATAATTCTGATGGATGGAAATGAACCTAAAAAATAAGAGGTACACGCGCGTTAGAGAAAAATATCTATCTACTATCACTAACGTAATATCAATGTTAGAATTTTTCACACAACTATATAATTATTACATACACTCGCATTATAACGAATTTAATATATTGATAATGAATGAAAAATTATAACATTAATGTTACTTTTGTTGATGTTTATTACATTGGTTTGTGGGAATTACATTATAAAACATTTATATGCACGCTTCGATACTGACTTCACACAGTACAGCTGATTTTGGAGGTTTCCAATCTGAAATCCCGACAGCATCAATCCATTTTTGTCTCAACTTTGGATCTCGAGCAAAGTTTATGCATCCATATCTTTCTTTATTAGAGTTGGTGCATCTGGGAGCACTACACCTGGCAGGCATTTTGTAATGTACACAAATCCTGATATCTGAAATGTAAAAATTCAATTTTATTTCATGTATATGTACAATAGAGGAAGGTATGACCATAATCGTGAGTAACGGCACAACTTCATCGCGATCTCGATATCTGATATACAGTTCACCATACATGATTTCTGATAGGTTGAAATTCTTATTCTCTGTTCTCTATTCTTTATTCCTTTTATTATGCGCAGGCACCGAGGCTCTCTAGCTGAAACCATGAAAGCTGCGTTCCAAAATTCAGTGACAGTGCTGAAAATCTATAGTTTACGTGATGTGTATTATACATTTTTTAGCACTGACAGTGAATCGTCTAAAAGCAAATATGTAATAAAATTTACACATATGGCAAAAATCTTATTTAGAATACATTCAGTTCTCAGGAGATTTGCAATTTAATTTTATTTTAATTCTGGCACTCATATATCATGCCGAGATTGCGATCTTCAAATTGAATGAGAAAAACAATATAAAGGATTTTAATACTATTAATAGTCATTCTTAACATGGTGAGTGCCTGAAATACCTTACGATTAAATCTAGGATTACCTTTCTGTGTTTGTCTCTAATAAAACACTTCTTGTCACAACTTCATCGTTGATTGGCCTAGTTTACATTGTGCACTTGATACAGATACTAACTAGTAACTTTCTATTGAATGATCTTAATTTCGATGATATGTTGAAACATATGCATGATATATGTATTTAATTAATCATTATGATGTTATCTAGATAATTTTACTGCTATTGGTGTATTCTTTTAGATTATCCAATCAGCATTTTAGATCTGAAAGAATACATCAATAGCAACGAGCGCTCACTCAACTGTTGAATCCGCTGAATGCGCCCTATTTGATCCGTGGCCTCTGTGCTCCAGTATGGTTTTTCTGACTTACAACCAATGTTTGATTTTATCTAGATAAAATTATCTAGATAACATCATAACGATTAATTAAATACATATATCATGCATATGTTTCAACATATCACCGAAATTAAGATCATTCGATAGAAAGTTATTAGTTAGTACCCGTATCAAGTGCACAATGTAAACTAGGCCAATCAACGATGGAGTGTTTGTGGCAAGAAGTGTTTTACCATTTTGATTCTCATCGCTTTTGTCGATCTATGTAGTACGTCATCTACGATCTAAACATCTACTACTGAT